TTCATAGGTCAAAGCTCAACCACTGAGCCACGCCGGCCTGGCCTCTATTGCAGTAGACTTGAATAAAATCTGTTTTTACCACTTTAACTGCTATTTAGCCCTGGTTTTTCTTTAACAATGCCAACAGGTAGCATGGGGGAAGTTTAAGGCCTCCCACTACTAATCCTCATATAGGTAGGTCCATTTTTAGATATGTACAACGACATGCTCTCAGTATTTGTAAATTGCTGTGCAAACACAGATTCAAACAGATAGCTACCTCTGGATAGTTTCCTTTATAGCAAGCAGCTATTGTGTGGATTATAAGAAGAAAGTTACTTTGAGAAATCTATTAACCCAGTGCTGTGATAGGCACTGAGAAATATCTTTCCAATTCTTCATTTTTATTAATTATTGAAGAAATAATTAAAATGGAAACCAGGCTCTAACTGGTTTGGCTCAGGGGATAGAGCGTTGGCCTGTGGACTGAAGAGTCCTGGGTTCAATTCCCTCAAGGGCAAACGTCCCGGTTGCAGGCTTGATCCCCAGTAAGGGGAGTGCAGGAGGCAGCCAATCAATGATTCTCATCATTGATGTTTGTATCTCTCCCTCTCCCTCTCCCTTCCTCTCTGAAATCAATAAAAATATATTAAAACAATTTTTAAATGGAAACCAGAATTCATTTGTCACCCAAATTAACAAAGATGGAAAACAAAACAAAATGAACAACAAAAAGTGCATGGGGCCTTTGAGGCTTTGGTGAAATGGATACTCAGAATATGTTGATGGGTGTGTAAATTGGTATGAAATCCTTTGCAATAGTTGTCAATATGTATTGGCTCTAAAAGATAGTCATACCCTTTGATCCAATTAGTTAATGTGAATATTCTAAGGAAGGAATCTGAAATAGGAAAGAGCTTTATGCTTATGCAGGCTCATTGTGGTATATACCTAATTGCCCAACAACAGTTAAATTATGGTTCATTAGATGGACTATTATCCAGCTATTAAAGATGGTAGTTTTGAAGAGTAAAAAATGAAAAAAAATCATACTTTAAAAATACAATTTAAAAAGCACAGCCCCAGCTGGTTTGGCTCAGTGGATAGAACGTTGGCCTTCGGACTGAAGGGTCCCAGGTTCGATTCTGGTCAAGGGCACATACCTGGATTGCAGGATCCCCAGTAGGGGGCATGTAGAAGGCAGCCTATCAGTGATTTGTTATCTCCCTCTCCCCCCTTCCCCTCCCCCTCTCCCTTTTCATAAGCAATAAAAATATATTTAAAAATAAAATAAAAAGCACAATGCAAAAATTGTCCATATAGAATTATTAACACCTTATAGAAAAGAAATCTGTTCAGAGAAAAAGATTGGAAATAGAGATCCTTTAAAAAGGTTATAATGGCTATATTTAAGTATTACAACTATAAGTGACATGTTTCTTTTTATCTTCTGATTTCCCGTAATGACTACATATTAAGAGAAACTATTGGTCTAGTATGGCATCACTCACATGTCTGGAGTGGGTGCTGGTGTTGGCTAGGGCAATGGGGGTAACTGGTCATGTGTTTCCAACAGGCTAGCCTGGACTCAATCACATAGTGATGGCTGCATGGTTCCCAGGAAGAGCTCCAAAGTGCAAACACTTTTCCTTTCTTTTTTTTTTATACTATTTTATTTGTATGCTGCTGCCAGTGTATATAAGATAATTATCCTTGTGAAATAGAAATTCATGAAAATTTCAGAGAGGTAGATGTTAAGGACTGACAAAAGCAGAAGTTTTTATAGTATGGCACATGTTAGAGGGTAAGGTTTTTGCACAGGCTTCAAATTGAGCTCTCTGCACCAGCTCAAGAGAAGTGGTTTGGACGCCTTCATAGATTCATTTTGCTACAAAAAAGAACAGACTTTCTGGGGTCTGACGGGATTGGTTCTTTCTGAAGATACTCCAGTAGGCAGGGGGTCCTTTTGAGCATTCTGCGGACAGAATTGTTTCAAATTTGCAGTTGCCTAGCTCCAGCCGGAGCTGTTGAACCACTTTTTTTTTTTTTTTTTCTGTTAAAGCTCACCAGAGGATATTTTTTCCGTTGATTTGGAGAGAGAGAGGGAGAGAGAAAGACATTGGTTGCCTCCCTCCTGCACATTCCCCGCCTGGGGGCTGGGGTCTAGCCTGCGACCTATGTGCTCGGAATCGAACACTCAACCCTTTGGTGCGTGGACTGACGCTCTAAAGGTTGAGTTGAGCCCCAAAGGCCAGGACTGGAGCACTTTCTTCATAGCGGTGACGATGTTGGAGGAACCCGACATGGTGCACGCAAGAGCGGAGCTGGGCAGATTTGCCGGTAAGTAGTGAGTGGGCAGGTCGTGGGTTGGTGGGACCAGACGGCTGGGCAGCGGAGTGAGGGGCGAGGCTCAGAATTATTTCAAAGTGCAAACACTTTTCAAGTTTCATATTTGTAATGGTTCCATTTTCCAAAGCAAGTCACGCGGCCAAGCCCGGAGTCAGTGGGGGAGGGGACTACTCAAGGCATAGATGCGGAGACGAGAATAATGGCGACCATTTTGCTAGCTATCACAGTAGTCGTTGACTTTAATAGCCAGTCTGAATCTTATGAGTCCCTATGAGATAAAGTTTAGAGTTCTCAGCTCTGACTTACGACTACCTGTTCCAATGATCTGACTCTATTCCTTTCCTCTACCTCAATACCAGGCAAATGAGCTTTTTATAGTTATCTGAACACACCTTACTATATCTTACCCTACGTCTTTGCTTCCGCTGATTCAACTGGAGTACAGTCACCCACTCTGAGTCCCACACACTAATCTACCATTGATTTTTGAACATCTTTCAAGACAGAAAAGGGTGTACGTCCTTAAGAAAGCCCATCTTGGCCCAGCTGGCGTGGCTCAGTGGTTGAACATGGATCTAGGTCGTCACCGTTCCCTTTCCAGGGTGAGGGGTTGCGAGCTGGATTCCTAGTGTGGGGCGCGCAGGAGGCAGCCGATCCAGGATTCTCTCTCATCATTGATGTTCCTATCTCTCTCTCCCTCTCCCTTCAAAAAATAAAAATATATAGAAAAAACTTAAAAAATCAATAAAAACATATTGAAAAAAATAAAAGAAAGCCCATCCTGCCTATTGGGTAGATTTGGAACAGTTCCTTCTTTGGAATCTGTAGAACAATATACAGATTTCTAATTTTGTACCTATGTAACTTTAGTATTCACTTGTTAACATGCCTGTTTCCCTTTTTGTAGACTCTTAAGATTCTCAAAGGCAGGTACTATATCTTTCTTGTATTTATATCTAGAATTTCTTAGCTGGCAATTATTAGATGATAAATGTTTGGATAAATTGTTTTAATGTACATTTTTAAAAGATATACAAATGGCCAACAGGTAGATGAAAAGGTGCTCAACATCACTAGTCATCATGGAAATGCAAATCAAAATCACAATGAGATATCACTTCACACCTGTAAAAATGGCTTTCGTGAAAAAGACAAGAGATAAGTGTGTGCACTGTTGTTGGGAATGTAAATTGGTGCAGCCACTATGGAAAACACTATGGAGATTACTCAAAAAGTTAAAAACAGAACTACCACATGATATAGCAATCCCACTTCTGGGTATTTAATCCAAAGGAAATAGAAACAGGATATCGAAGAGATATCTGTACCTCCATATTCATTGCAGCATTATTCACAATAGGCAAGGTTTGGAAGCAACCTAAATTTGCACCAGTGAATGAATGGGTAAAGCAGATGTGGTAAATATATACAATGGAATATTATTCAGCCCAATAAAGAGGGAAATCCTGTCATTTGACAACATGGTTAGATCTTGAGAGCATTATACTAAGTGAAGTAAGCCAGACAGAGAGAGACAAATACTGCATGGGATCATTTATGTGGAATCTAAAATGAAAAAGTAATACCCATAGAAACAGAGAGTAGAAAACTCTCTGGGGCTGGGGGCGGGGTTGGGAAAATAGGAAAAAGTTGGTAAATGTACAAAAAGAAAAAAAGGTACATTTTAAGATCATTAGTAAAATCAGGCATTTTTCATATATATATCACTTGTACATTTTTCTCATGAGATAATCAGTAAAATTAAGCATTTTTCATATACATGTTTATACTTTCATGATTCTCATGGGATAAAAGTTTACTTTTATTTAAGTGAGTTATACACAATTGTAGGATTGAATATATTAAAAGACTAACTCAAACATGTTTTCAAATCATATATATCTTGTTTTATTTACTTTGCAAACAACAAGCTTGAAATTCTGAAAACTTCATAGCAAATTTTGTGGGGAAGCAGAAATATATAATTCTGTAGCCTAACAGAAACAAAACTCAGCTTGACATGACATATTAAATGTAGAGATAATTACTTAGGTGGAAAAATTAAAACTTTGTCAATTTTCTTTAGAGTGGGTACTTTTAAGAGTTATAACAACACATTTTCTTCTGTGACAGTTTTTAAAAAATAATCTAGAAGAATTTGGTCAGTTACTTTTCTATTCCACAGCTCATTTAAGGACTTTTTAAAATTGACTTTAGAGAGAGGAAGGGGGAGAGAAGGGCGGAGGGGGGGGGAGAGTAAGAAACATCAATGTGAGAGAGAAAACATATGGCTGCCTCCTATATGCACCCAGACCAAGGATGGAACCCAAAACCTAGGTATGTGCCCTGACAGGAATGGAACCAGCCGCCCTTCAGTGCATGGAGGACAATCCAACCAACTGAGGCACACTGGCCATTTAAATTGCACAGAGAGATAAAGTAATGTGATATCTTGGTAGGAACGCGTTCTTTGTTTTGTTATATTGTTTCTTTCTTTGTTCTCAACGGCTAGACCCCCACTAATGTTTTCCAGCATCCCCAGAGCACCTAGAGATGTTTACTTTTAAATCATCCTTTTGTTCATTTGTATGCTGTTTGCATTTTATCCAATTTTTATGCTGTGACTCATCAAAAAGATTAACTGCTAAGACAACCTTCTCCTTGCCTGCGTTACGGCCAGTCAGGCCCTGTGTTCCGAGTTCTAGTCTCCAGGCCCCAAAAGGAGGTAAGAGCTTCTATTTTTGTTCACATTGCTAGAGGGACAAGGAATGGAGGGGAGAATTTTGATGGATTTGGCCAAGCGCAGAGCGATAGCTGGCATCTTGGAGACTGGGAAGCAGGGTGACTTCATGAGCTAGTGACCCTGTAGTTGTACAGAGCTGTGCTTGGTTTAATGCTTTGCTGTTCTTTTCTCGAGATTCTTCATAATTTTAAAACAAGGGGCTCTATATTTTCATTTTGCACTGGGTCCCAAAATTATATAGCCAGGCCTGCTGGGAAGACCAAGGGGTAAAGGACAGTAATGGTAGGGACTTTCTCCTCCTCTGACAGGGAGGCTACAGGGTTACTTGAAGATAGACCATGATGTACCTTAGGAGTCACTGTGAGGATCCCTGAAGCTGAGGTTGGCCAGGAATAAGTGGACTTTCCCCCTTGTTTTCATAGGGATATAGGTATTAGAGGCACCTCTCACAGACACCGGACAGCCCCCTGAGTTGGAGGAAGAGGGCTATCCCCAACCTGCATTCTTGTTTTCTCATGTAAATGAATTTAGATGAGAAAACTCCAGTTACTGCATTATGATGAAGCTGATTGTATTAAAGCAATTAAAGCATGCACTTTTATTAAAGAAGCAAGGCAAGCAAACCTATACATCTGGCTTATAAAGCGCAGATGGCCTCTCAACTAATTTGAAGAGCAAGTGGGGGTGGGGATTTGAGGCATTATATACCCTTCTGTCTACAAATTTCAAAAATTTCTCTGCTGAATATTTTGGTACAGATGGATTCTCAAGGTCCCTTTTTACTTTACTGTGGCCTTCCCAGAACTCATGGGAAGCACCTGGCAAATTTACCTTGCCAAGCCTTGAGACTGCTGGCTTCTCTTCTTAGGGAGTGAAACTGCTCTTTTTTTCCTTTACCCTCCCCCACTCCTTTTCTGCATTCTTGGGTAGGGAGGTTTTTAACCATTTGCTCTCAAGTGTCCTTGGCTGGGAAGATAATGGCTTGCTATTTACAAGCTGCCTGCAAATTGCCACACTGTTTGGCCTTGTTTTAATTTTTCTGTTTCAGTTTTCCCGTTCCACTTGCCCGGGAATTTTTCTAGCTTTTCACTGCCCTGTAACATAGAAGCTTGGACGGGGACTAAGGTAGATTGAAAAGAAGCCCTTTCTCAAATGTCCTGGATTTCGTAAGCCCGAGTTCAACTCTGAGCTAAAGGAGGAGGGTCTCCCTCCAAAAAGACAGATTAGGCATTATGTAGTGGGTTGCATGGAGTCCCCCAAAAGATATGTCTACCTCAGCCGTGGGCAAACTACGGCCTGCGGGCTGGATCCGGCCCGTTTGAAATGAATAAAACTATTGAAAAAAAAGACCGTACCCTTTTATGTAATGATGTTTACTTTGAATTTATATTAGTTCACACAAACACTCCATCCATGCTTTTGTTCCGGCCCTCTGGTCCAGTTTAAGAACCCATTGTGGCCCTCGAGTCAAAAAGTTTGCCCACCCCTGGGACTCTACCTGGACCTTCAGAATGCAACCTTATTTGGAATAAGGGCCTTTGAGATGTAATTAAAGGAAGGATTTCAAGATGAGATCATCCTGGATTACAGAGGGCTCTAAATCCAATGACAGGTGTTCTTATAAAAGACAGAGAGTGTATACAGAGAGACCCAGAGAAAGCCATATGAAGTTGCAGGTAGAAATTGGAGTGATGCATCTTTAAGCCCAGCAATGCCAAGGATTGCCTGTAGCCACCAGAAGTGAGGAGAAAGGAACCAACTCATATAACACATTGATTTTGGACTTCTGGCCTCCAGGACTATTAGAGAATAAATTTCTGTTGTTTTAAGCCACCACATTTTAAAATTACACTTTGCTTTCAATGTTATTTTTTATTGGTTTCAGGTGTGCAGCATAGTGGTTAGACAATTATATACTTTACAAAAGTGTTCCCCCGATATTTCCAGTACCCATCTGGCATCATACATAGTTATTACAATATTATTGACTCTATTCCCTATGACAGTGATAGCGAACCTTTTGAGCTCGGCGTGTCAGCATTTTGAAAAACCCTAACTTAACTCTGGTGCCGTGTCACATATAGAAATTTTTTGATCTTTGCACCCATAGTAAAACAAAGATTTATATTTTGGATACTTATTTTATATATTTAAATGCCATTTAACAAAGAAAAATCAACCAAAAAAATGAGTTCGCGTGTCAGAGGTTCGCCATCACTGCCCTATGATGTACTTTACATCCCCAGGATTATTTTTTAACTACCAATCTGTACTTCTCAATCGATTCACCTTTTTCACCTAGTTCCCCAACCCCCCTCCACTCTGGAAACCATCAGTCTGTTCTCTGTGTCTATAAGTCTGTTTCACTTTTGCTTGTTCATTTATTTTGTTCTTTATATTCCACATGTAAGTGAAATCATATGGTATTTATCTTTCTCTGACTGACTTACTTCACTGAGCAGAATTCCTCCTAAGTCCATCTATACTGTTGTAAATGGTAAGATTTCATTCTTTTTATGGCCGAGTAATATTCCATTGTCCATATGTACCATCACTTTTTTACCCACTCATTTATTGATGGGTACTTTGGGTTGTTTCCACATCTTGGCTATTGTAAATAACACTTCAGTGAACATAGGGATGCATATATTATTTTGAATTAGTGTTTTGGGTTTCATTGGATAAATGCCCAGAAGTGGAGTCACTGGGTCATAAGGCAGTTCCATTTTTAATATTTTGAGGAATCTCCATACTCTCTATATTATATATGCTGTTGCAGCAACCTCATTTTGTTTTATTTATTTATTAATTTTTTCCCCAGCCTCATTTTATAGGAATAGAAATACTTATGATTTGCAAAGTTGCTTTAGGCCAGAGTTTATTTAAACACAAATAGATTGTTTTTTAAAAACATAATTTATTTATAATAGAGTAGAGCCTCCAGTTGTTGTACTTGTGCTGAAACTGTTCATTTAGTATACATTCATAAGCCCCAGAGTTGGAAATAAGATAGTAGAGTCAGCATTTTACTTTGGGGATGTCATCCCAATTTATTTGAGCAAGAGTATTTGCTTTTTAATAGTGAAACTGGGTCAGTATAAAAAATAATATTGGCTAAATGTACTGCTTGAATTGATCTATTTTATCAGAACTTTTTAGGCAGCAAACTTGGATAACTGCTTCTTTAAGGGCAATAAAGCAGGCTGTATAAAAAAGGCAGGCAGATCAAAGGCATTAAAATCACACACTTCACCAAAGAAAATATAGGCATGTCCAATAAGCATGTGAAAAGGTGCTCAACATGATTAGTTATCACGGAAGTGGAATTAAAATCCAATTGAGTTATCACTACAGTGACTTAAATAAAAAGACTGATGACACCAACTATTGGCAAGGAGGTAGAGAAACGAACTTTTTTGAATTGCCAGAAGGAGTGTAAAATGGTACAACTTTGGAGACCTTTTTGTCAGTTCCTTATAAAGTTAAGCATACTCTAGGACCTATGAATCCCAATCTTAGGTATTTTTCTCATGACTCATGAAAACATTTGTCCTCCAAATCATTGTACAAAAATGTTTGTTAGCAACTTTATTTATAAAAGTCCAAACTGGAAACAACTCAAATATCTATCAGCAGGAGAAGGGATTATCAAATAGTGGTATATTTATTATATTTATATAATGGAATACTTTTGGACCACACCAATGTTTTCCAGCATCTTCAGAACACCTAGAGGTGTTTATTTTTAAACAATCCTTGGTTTAATTTGTATGCTGATTTGTGTTTTATCTGATTTTTATGCTGTGACTCATCAAAAAGATTAACTGCTAAGACAACCTTCTCCTTGCCTCCATTACGGCCAGCCAGGCCCTGCGTTTTCCAGGCCCCAAAAGGAGGTAAGAACTTCTATTTTCCTTCATTTTCCTAGAGGAACAGGGAATGGAGGGGGCAATTTTAATGGATTTGGCTAAGCGCAGAGGGATAGCTGGCATCTTGGAGACTGGGAAGCAGGGTAGCTTCATGAGCAAGTGACCCTGTAGTTGCACAGAGCTGTGCTTGGTTTAATGCTTTGCTATTCTTTTCTCGAGATTCTTCATAATTTTAAATCAAGGGGCCCTGTATTTTCATTTTTCACTGGGTCCCAAAATTATATAGCCAGGCCTGCTGGGAAGACCAAGGGGTAAAGGACAGTAATGGTAGGGACTTTCTCCTCCTCTGACAGGGAGGCTACAGGGTTACTTGAAGACAGACCATGATGTACCTTAGGAGTCACTGTGAGGATCCCTGAAGCTGAGGTTGGCCAGGAATAAGTGGATCCACCAGAGAACTCTACCCCTTTGCTTTCATAGGGATATAGGTATTAGAGGCACCTCTCACCAGACACCATGTTGTCCATGTCCTAGACGAATCTCAACAACTTTGTTGAATGAAATACGTCATTCTGTCTGAGTCCATGTAAATGAAATTCTAGAGCAAGCAAAGCTATCCTGTGGTGATAAAAATCAGAAAGTGGTTGGAGGGGATTGGGGATTGGATGGGAATTGACTGGAAAGAGGCACAAGAAAACTTTATGGGAAGAAGGATATATTCTATGTCTTGATTAGGGTGGTGAGTACATGGGTATATAATTGTCAAAAGCCATTGAACTGTATACTTAAGTCTATGTGTTTATTTTTATGTAATTATACTTCAATTTAAAAAATGAGGTCCCCTCCTACTCCTATCCCATTCAAGAAAATGTCTGCTCAAAATCTACAGTGCAAAACATCCTTTTTCAGGCTAAGGCCTCCTAGGTCGTATGTTGCGGGTCCACACTGGAGCCTTACCTAACCTGGATCCTCTGCTTGGATTAACTACCTGAATCTGATGATCCTGGAGTTTTAACTCCAATCTTATTTTGGTGTTTTATTAATGGCTTCCCTTCTGACTCAAGTTTTATTTTCATTTCCTGTCTTATCTTTTCCTTGATCCTTTGACTACAAGTGCTTGTTGGTAAGGCACAATATATATGAAAAAGAGAAAAAAAATGGTTGTCTTTTTGAGTCTAACCCACTCTATTTTTTTTTTTTTTAAAGATAAACCACAATGGTGTGTTTGGCTTTTCTAACTGCCAAATCTGATGCAATGTAATTATTTAATTAGGTTAGATTACTGTTTATATTAACCTCAAATAGTGATTAAATTGAATTTTTCATGGCAAGAGCTCACAGGTAAAATCAGCTGAAATCAACCAGTGCTTGTCTTAACCCATCCTTTGTGTATCCTGCCTCCATCATCAGGGGGTATACAAGGCTGAACTGACAAGATGAGTGGCCTCTGTTAATGGAACACATCTAGGTCACAGTTAAGCCCACATATGAAGTCAAACACTTCCAAATGTGGCAGGAACCCAAGTGGTGCCCTCAAGAGGTCTATCACTGTCTCTCTCTCTCTCTCTATCTCTCTCTCTATCTCTATCTCTATCTCTATCTCTATCTCTATCTCTATCTCTATCTCTATCTCTCTTTATATTTCCCCAATAGACAGCCCACCTCCAGCTCCAGAGTTCACAGCCTCTCCAAATGACGACTTTAGAAAACGTTTTAAATTGAGGTACAGTATAACATATATGCAGTTGTGGCAGCTAATCTTCATGCTGTGGTATTCCCATCCCACATTGAATCTGGCTGGTTTGCGACTTGATTTAAGCAATAGAATGTGGCATCAAAGGCCCTGGGCCAGTCTTAGGCCTAGGAGCATTTGATAGGTTCTACTTTTTTTCCCCTTGGAACACTGGTTTTCGGGAGCCCTCTCAGCTTAGATCCTCCAAGAAGCAAACACTGAGACCAAATTATATTTGCAAGAGACTTATTAGGGGACATGCCTGAAGGATAAAGGGAGAGAGAGAAGGAGTAACCCGGGAAAGCCATTAGATTGTGTTACAGATCTGACACTCTCTTACTCAGCAAGTTTAATAAACCCAATTTGTGCTATCAAAGGGTGGCTCTGGTAGTCTTTGTGAGAACTTTGACAAAATCTGTACACTTTGTATTGCTGTACAGAAAGTAAAGATTGGGAGAAAAAGACAAAGCAAGAGCATCCCCAAATACAACTTGAAGCAAGGTTCATTAGTTCAGATTTCTTGGAATTAATAATAAACCAACAGGAGTATCCATCATCCTTGGTTTGAGGAGAATAGGCCTCTTCCTGCATTTGTAGTCAGTGCCAAACCATGGTTAAATAGTGGAAACTGCTGGAGAAGGGGAACATGGGGGAAGTGTTGAGTCCCAAATGGCTGCAGTCTTTCTCCAAACAAATCACCCCTAACTGCCCAAAAGCATGGAATGATTTTTTTGTTCCTATCTCTCTGCAGTATTTGACAATTTGGTCACTGTCTCCTTAAAATTCTTCGGTAGCCCTCCATGATATTGTACTTTCTGAATTGTCTTTCATCCTCTCTGATAATTCCTTCTCAGTTCTAGATGGGCAGGGAGCGGAAGCCAGATAAGGAATAAGAAATGACCATTGAGTTACTAGTTATGATGTCATCCATGCTGTTAGCAAAAACAGTGGAGTAGAGGAGACAGAAGATGGATTGCAAAGGACAGAAAAAAGAGTAGTGACTGTGGGCCTCTGTTTCACAAAGCTTGGAGGTTGCTACTGTTTTTGTTTGGGGGTTTTGTTTGTTTGCTTTTTGCTCTCTCGTCGACTTTATTAATGCAGTTCTCCAGGCAGTTAGTTCACACCTGCCATGCACGGAGCTATGCTTGGAGCTGCTGGGATGTAGAGATGGCAGAGACCCTCCCTGTCTTCCGGGAGCAGGTTTCTGATCATGACCAGAAACTATACACCTTGGGAATCACAGACAATGATGACTACCCCATGAGCCTCTAGGTTATCTGGAGAGATTTGTTTTAAAGCATTGGAGAGGCTTTCACATATTTATGTAAGAAGATAAAAGTTAGAGATATGTTAATATGTTTTCAAGTTCATATTTATAAAACTGAATCTTATCACACTAAGCCAGAGATATCCATTGTTTTGAAGATTTTAAAGACTATTACAGCAGGAATGCAAAGAGAAAGTCAGTGTCTAACTTTTAATTACTCAAGTAGCTTCTGAAACCCATTTCAGAGGTTGTGGTTGAGAGTGAAAACTATCTATTCCAGGGGTTGAGAACCTTTTTTCTGCCAAGGACCATTTAGATATTTATAACATCATTTGAGGTACATGCAAAATTATGAACTTAAAAATTACCCTGCTATATATTTGATCAAAATTTAATTAACTCACCCCTAATGCCTTGGCAGGGCCAGACCAAATGATATCTTGGGCCTTATACAGCTGGCCTGTGGGTGGACATTCCCCTCCCCTGATTCTGTTCCCACACAGTTTACTGCCTATATTAACATGCCTTTACTATCCCAGTGTCTTCATCAACAATGATTTAACTACCCCAGGAACCTCATCAACAATGATTTAATTACCCCAGGAACCTCTGGCCTAGGAAAATAAAAGTATAAATAACTTTATTGCTCTGTTCAGAAACCTTTTGATTTAAAGGAATGTCAGATACTCAATATCTCAATAGATAGCATCAAACGACTCTTTGCCCTCTAACACTTGATTGAAATACCTCATTGGGTCTTTTAATCCTAAAACTACTTATTCAATTCTAATCAAGCCCCCAGATCAAAAGACCAGCCTTAAACCAGATCGGACTCCCCCCCCCCCCCAAAAAAAAAACACACACACAACAACAACAACCAACAAAAACCCTGGTAAATATCCCAGTTTTGCCTTTGCCCTTTCAGAGATTGTATAAGACTGTCAGGTAGTGATCTCCCTTACTGCAATAAGCAATAAGCTCAGCTTTGCTCCTCAATCTTTTATTTTGGTGGTATTTGGGAGAGCCAGTATTGTACATAGTGTGAAAGCCAATGATTTTTATTCCCATGAGCCAGAGTTTTTGAAGAAAGATAAGGTTTTTGTAAATCAAAGGATAAGAACCCTAAAAGAGTTGTGAATAAGTTTTATTCATGAACAGTGACTTTAGAAGAGAGAGGAGAAAGAAATGAATGACCTTGTATGAGGATGGGTGGTTTGTTTTGGGTTGCAAAATTATGCTCAGAGACTGATTCTGTCTTTGCCAGCACTTTATTTTTTAAAAAAATATTTTTATTGAGTTTAGAGAGGAAGGGAGAGGGAGAGAGAGATAGAAACATCAATGAGAGAGAATCATTGATTGGCTGCCTCCTGCACGCCCCACAGCCCGCAACCCAGGTGGAGCCCGCAACCCAGGTGGAGCCCGCAACCCCAGTCATGTGCCCCAACTGGACCGGGAATCGTACGGTGACCTCCTGGTTTATAGGGCCCACTGAACCTCGCTGGCGGGGCCTGCCAGCACTTTATTTAACACAGGTTCACTGCAGAAATATTATAAGACAAAAGCATACAGGATAATTTCTCTTAATAAACCAGGAAAGAAATAACCTCCATAGCAATGATAGATTACTTGGACTATTGTTTTAGGCAAGGGAAGATGAAAGGAAGTCCAAACTTAGTTGCGATGGACCTTTTCATACCAGTAGGCACTGAGGAGATATGGCTTTAACCAACTGAGAGCTGACTTCCATTTGCCAGCCACATAATCAAGTCCCTTGTTGCTGGAGCCTGTTGCTAGGGAACGAAGGTGCTGGTGTTGGCCGGCAGGCTGGCTGCTTGGAGGGTTATCCCTCCAGGGGCCGCTGCACAGCGTGAGTTCCTCTCTGAGGTAGGAACACATTTTCCTTTCGCTTCTTGACACCGCTGCCCACCAAAGTGTCACCTCGCCCATACCCAAACTTTCCAATGGTCCTCACGAACTTTTAGTATTTATAGTCTAAGTCCTCTTGGCATAGTTGCTTCTCCACATATTGTCATTGATAAGCCCTGAGCTGAGCTGCTGATTGCTTCTCAGTGACAGATGAGATGATGACATCCCTAAATAACTTGCTTCATCTTTATACTAAAACCACTTCACTTCTAAAAACAACTTTGTTGTCATTGTCATAAACAAGTGAATTTGAAATCGTATCGAACCAACGCACAACAATGGGATTAGGATTGCCCTGGTTTCTGAGATGGGCAGGCTGAGGATTGAGGAGGGAGAAAATGGAAGCTAGAAAGGCCAGTGGGACTTTGAGGACTTGGAGATAGCCACAGAGAAAGCAGTCTGGAGAGCTATTTAGGGAGCCTCATGTATAAGACTGTCAGGTAGTGATCTCCCTAGAGACTATTTAGAGCGGTTGGTTGTCTTATTTGAGTCCTTGACCCTGCCTAGGCAGTGACAAAACCCATCTCTAATTTATGACTGCACATCTATTACCTTTATGTACTAGAGCCTATTTTCTTAAAATATGGTCAGACTTTCTGGTGGGCCTGAAATCTGCCCTCTTTAAAAACAAACACCCCAGATTATGTTTTATACATAGTTTTAAGAACCAATACTCCAAGGGAAAGGAGCTAGTACAGTAGAAAAGGTTACATTCACATGTGAGAGAATATTTTTGCTATTGTAACATGGAGAATGCTTGTAAGTAATCAAATTATGACTTTTCAAAGAGATGTCTATTTCTCTTATTGAGAAAAATTATTCCAAACATATAAACAAGGCAAAAGAGTGACTGAATGTTCTTTCAGTGTTGTATTGCAGTATTGCCTAACACAGGGGTGGGCAAACTTTTTGACTCGAGGGCCACAATGGGTTCTTAAACTGGACCAGAGGGCCGGAACAAAAGCATGGATGGAGTGTTTGTGTGAACTAATATAAATTCAAAGTAAACATCATTACATAAAAGGGTACGGTCTTTTTTTTCAATAGTTTTATTCATTTCAAACGGGCTGGATCCGGCCCTCGGGCCATAGTTTGCCCACGGCTGGTCTAACAGGCCTGCCCAAGGATTATTTCATTCTCTGGAGTATGGATCTTGGACATACTACTTTCTACTTATTAGGGTTCATATTCTGTGAACTTACATGTTAACTTGTAGATTTGTGTTTAACAGAGGTGTCTAGTAGAAATGATAACCCCAAGGCTATGGTTTTATTGCCCTGTAGGATAGGAACCCTTTCGTTGTTAAATTAAAACTTATTTCAGCATGCTTTTCCTGTTTGAGTACATACATTTCAGTTTCTTAAAAGATCTTTGAACCAGTTTTTCCATGCTACAAGATTTCTTCATTATAAGCTAAGCAAAATTTTTACACATATTCATTCTGTAGGGTGTCCCCAAAAATGTATACATACATGTTGAATAATTATAAAGACAGTGTTTATGAAAATATGTTTCATTTTCAAAATTGAGCTATCAGCTGTTAAAGTGTGTATACATTTGTTTGGGACATCTTGTTATTTGGGAATGGGTGGTGTTAGGATAAAGATCTGGGGTCTAGCTGTTTCTTTGAAAGAACTTTCACTCACTCTGTTTGGGCCCCACACTGTATCCTACCTTCAGAGGGCCTTCTCCCTCTAGTTCCTAAGCTTTTCTGGGGGTTCTGTGACATGGATTGTCTTACTTTCCATTGGTTTTCCACCTTGCAGGCACTTAGCTTTTTATGCTTCATTATGCCATATACCATTTGGCCATCTACCTTCCAGCTTTCAAAATTTTTTGTCATATATATATTTGTTAATCTTCGACTGAGGATATTTTCCCCCCATTGATTTTCAGAGAGAGTGTAAGGGAGGGAAAAGGGTGGGGGGAAGAGAGAAACATCGATTTGATGTGAGAGAGACACATCGATTGGTTGCCTCTGGCACGCACCCAGACTGGGGCAGGGGATTGAGCCTGCAAATGAGGTACCCATGACCCTTCAGTCCCCAGGCTGACGCTCTAATCACTGAGCAACCGGCTAGGGCTTTTCATATCTTATCTGCTGTCACCTTCTCTAGGGCCTTCTGTTCCCTTGCAAGTCTGTGACTTTAAAATTTTCCTTTCACTTATTCCAGTGCTGTCGAGTATATTCAATCTACCTTGTTTAAGTAAAATAGCATGTAATTCTAAAATATACTCCAAAATAGCACAGTGGTTTCTTTCTCCATCAAATGAAGGAACTCATCAAAGGCTGAGAGAGGGTCAAAATCCTGGGATTGAATAATTTGAACCTCAGTCTGGTCTCTAAAAAGTCCAATATCTTATGATGAGCATTAGAAATCACAATATTTTGGATTTTGATTGATAAGCTCAAATGATCAAATGTACTAAATGCATCACTGGATTGCACTTTGGAAAGCAGCAAACACTGGAATATACAGAAATAGCCTTTACTGGCATGATCAGTGTCATGCTTATATGAGCATCATTTTTCTTGATAGTTAATGCACTCCATTGTGGAAAAGCCATCTTGTATATGCTGCCTATTTCTTTTCTCAGCAAAATGAAAAAACAGGCAGCAGTGGTGGCAGTTTAGTGACATTACTTTCACATTGAATCAAGAAGCAGGGTGCTGACATTCGGCTGTCCTGAATGAATAAAGGAGTGTGAAAAAAAGTGCCATTTTATTCATACACTGTAGCTGTCATCAATTATCCCCTTCCATATCGTCCATTCAACTTATTTTTTAATATATTTTATTGATTTTTTTACAGAGAGGAAGGGAGAGAGATAGTTAGAAACATGGATGAGAGAGAAACATCGATCAGCCGCCTCCTGCACGCCCCCCACTGGGGATGTGCCCACAACCCAGGTACATGCCCTTGACCGGAATCGAACCTGGGACCCCTCAGTCCGCAAGCCGACGCTCTATCCACTGAGCCAAACCGGTTTTGGCCATTCAACCTTTGCTTGATATAATTTCCTGGTTTTCCTTTGGAAAACCAGCCCCTGTTGCATCTCAGATTCTGTGCTTTGGTGTGATAGACAGTGACTCAAGTGTGGCCAGTCAGAGCATAACCTTCCCTTGGCCAAAGAAGCTGATTTGTGGATGGGCATGTGACCCAGTTAGACTTAGCTAATGAGATTCAAGTAGATGTTAGTTGGGGCTATTGCAAGAGTGGCCAGTTGGACTTAAATCGAGAGCATGTGTGACTGGAGCAGCTGGTTGGAGCCTGAAAATGAAGCTAACAGAGGGGATGGCAGAGAGGAGAACTAGAAATAAAACAACTTGTGATGATATTGTTTGAGTTCCTGAATTAAGTTTTATGAGCCAATAAATGATCAATGGTTTGTCCTAGCCAGTTTGGCTTAATGGATAGAGTATTGGCCGGAGGATTGAAAGGTCCTGGGTTCGATTCCTGTCCAGGGCATGAACCTCGGTTGCAAGCTTGATCCCTGGCCCTGGTCGCGGCACATATGGGAGGCAACCAGATGATGTGTCTCTCTCACATCAATGTTTCTCTCTCTCTCTCTCTCTCTCTCTCTCTCTCTCTCTGTCTCTCCCCCTCCCTCCCTCCCACTCTCTCTGAAAATCAATGGAAAAATATTCTCCAGTAAGGATTAACAACAACAAAAATATCAATGGCTTATGACAGTTTAAACTATTTTTCTGTCACTTGCCACCATTCTGATTCACTTAGCAAAGCCCTGCACTACCCCAGCTACTGGCTCCCACAATATTTTTTTACCTAAATGAAAAATTGCTGTGTAACATAGGTATTCAGAGATAAAAGAAAACACTGAGCACATTTCACTCATACATGCTCATTTTATATGCCAAGAACATATTTATTGTAACTGTAATGTGAACTATCTATTCTCATAAACACTGTAATAAGTGCTTGTTTATACAGAATACCATTGGTATTAGGGGGTGTACAACACCATCATTTGATCAGAGAATATTGGCAACTGGCCATTCCATTTTCCTTTTAAGCATAACATTTCCATTAACTTTGTGAGTGGTTTTACAAAATTCTTGGCAGTAGTACAAGTTGAACCTTTAGCATCCTGGAAAGCACAATTTTTAACTTATTCTGGAAATTTCCAGTTGGTGTACCAGAGAGGTCATTGTGCTTTGTTTATGAGCAGTATTCAAAGGCTTCAGTGACTTCCTGCCACTATTTGACAGTTGCAGAACAGGCAAAGCACAGGGATCTAGAGGCAAAATCTAATTTTTATATAATTATTGTGTTTCTTATTCTTATTCTTTTTTGTCTGCCCATCATTCTTGCCTCAGCAATACAGTCAGCTCTGTTTTCACACAGACTTCTTATGCACTTTGGCATTTAGGAATTTATTCTGCACTGCAATATTTAGATAACTTTTTCTTTATTTGTTGATTTGAAAGAGAGAGAGAAAAAAACCCCACATCAATTTGTTGTTTCACTTTTTATGCATTCATTGGTTGCTTCTTGTATGTGCTCTGACCGGAGATTGAACCTGCAACCTTGGCTTATGGGGACCATGCTCTAACCAGCTGAGCTACTTGGCCACAGCCTAGATAACTTTTCTTTATGCTTCAGTGGACCGCTTACCCAGTTTTACAAATTGGGAATATGAGGAAGCACTTTGGTTACAACTAAAAACGAAAATTGGATAAATGTAAGTAATAATATTATGTAAGTGACATAAAAATACATGAGCTGAGATCAAATTCACCTTAGCAACTGAATGTTAGTTGAAAGAAACTGATCAATTGAGTCTTTATGGTGAGTATACAAACTTTGGGATTGTAATGATAATTGAAGTGTCTGTGAAAATCGTAATTTATTCTACATTTCAAACTTATTGACTGTATGTAGACACAGTTGTTTTATTTTTCCTTTGAGACTCTTGAAATATGAACCCCTTCTGAGGACTGCACTCAGCCAACACGTCTCAGAGGATACTTGTTGGAAAATGTCTCAGAGGATACTTGTTGGAAAGTGACCAAGGAGGTAATTGGGGACAGGAAAGGCTTGACAGTAGGAAGAACCATTGTCATCCACAGAAAGATTTACCAAAATATCAGCAGTATGGGACTTTTAAGATCTTCTCTCTTAGCAACTTGCAAATATACAATACATTATTGGTAACTGTAGTCACCATGTTGTACATTATATCCCCAAAATTATTTATCTTATTACTGGAAGTTTGTACCTTTTGACCAACACCTCCCCATTTCCTCCTCCCCTTAGCCCTGGTAATCATTCTCTGTTTCTATGAGCTTGATGTTTTTATATTTCATATATAAGTGAGATCATAGAGTATTTGCCTTTCTCTGATATTTTATAGATGCAAGGTTCATCCATATTGTAACATGTGTCAGCATTTCCTTCATTTGTATGGATGAATAATATTCCATTATGTGTATAAACCACACTTTATTTATCCATTCATCTATTGATGAAAATTTGGGGCAGATAATTATATTTTTAAAAAACTTAGTTATTATTTCACATGCTTATATCCTGTATCATTGTTATATAAATTAATTTGAGGGAGAATTTTCATTTATTTAAAAAAAGAAAGAAAAATAAAACAACAGAACCCACTTGGAGTTAGCCGTACTAACTTACTAAGTACATTTTGGCTATGTGGTTTGAAAATTGCTAAAAAGAAAGTTTTAAATTAATTTCACTACTTAAGATCTGAACTTAATCATTTTCTGGGTTCAGGAAGCTCTTCTCTGATGAATTATAGATATAAATAAATATTCATATATATATATGTATAAATGTATCTATAATACAGAATCTTTGTATTATATATCTCCTGTACTTTAAGTCAACTAGATATCTGAAAATCAAGGATGACCCAATAAATAATAGAGGTAATTAATCATTTAACAAAATGATTCCTAATAAGATTTATTTTTAAGCCTGTCCTGAATTTGTTCAAATTTAATTTATCCTTATGAAAATATGGTTTATACAGTTTCAGAAACCTATCTAACATATCCCCTGTGTCAAGTGAGAGCTTACTGAGCTATTAAACTGCTTTCCCCCACAAGACAGGAAAGAGAAGTAGCTGTCACGAAGCCTGCAAGGGGCTGGAGACCTGCCCTCTCCACCTGGGCACCCAGATGGAGCTGCCTCATGTGGTCCTATTCTGAAGAACCACAGACTTCTGTTGGGGACTCTGATCCAGGGTAAGAAAGAGGGAGAGAGAGACAAGATTTAAAAGGGCTCCATTTGGGAAGGCTCAGTTTCACTGCTCTCCCTGCCGAGTTTTTATGTTTGTTTTTAGTTGAAGTAGTCCAAGGTGATCATGGCATTTGCATGATGTAATGAAGTGGCAAAGAGTGGCAACACCTGGTGTGAAGTGTTGTGTGTTTGTGTTAGTATGGACTGGTATAAACTGGAAGTTAAATTCCAAGCATGACTTAGGTAAAGGAGAGGAACTAGATGTTGTCTTACCCACCACACACTGTTCTTTCTTTGCTCTGACAAGGAAATAATGGAGAGGTGGTAGTGACATGCTGTGTATTTAAAAAACATTTTAAGAAATTGAGACATGATTCACATGCCATAAAATTAACGCTTTAAAAGTGTATAATTCACTGGGCTTTAGTATATTCACAGAGTTGTTCAGACATTAGTACTAATTCCAGAACATTTTCATCACTCCCTAAAGAAACCCTGTACCCACTGGCAGTCACTTCCCATTTTCCTCCAATCTGCCCCCACCCAGCCCTAGGCAGCCACTCTGTCTCTCTAGATTTGCCTGTTCTGGACATTTCATTGAAATATAATCATATAATATGTGGTCCTTTGTGTCTGGCTTATTTCACTTAGCATAATTTTTTTCAGGTTTATCTATGTTGTAGCATAAACCATTACTTCATTCCTTTTTATTATCAAACTAGAGGCCCAGTACACGAAATTTGTGCACTCACGGGGGGGGTCCCCTCAGCCCAGCCTGTGCCCTCTCACAGTCCTGGAGCCCTTGGGGGATGTCCAACTGATGGCTTAGGCCCGCTCCCCCTTAGTGCTGCTGTGGAGGCGGGAGAGGCTCCCACCACCGCTGCTGTGCTCGCCAGCCGTAAGCCCGGCTCAGGGCTTCTGGCTGAGTGGTGCTCCCCCTGTGGGAGTGCACTGACCACCAGGGGCAGCTCCTGCATTGAGCGCCTGTCCCCTGGTGGTCAGTGCATGTCATAGCAACCGGTCGTTCCACTGTTTGGTCGATCTGCATATTAGCCTTTTTTATTATATAGGATAATATTTCATTGTATGGATAGACCACATTTTATTTGTGCATTAGTTGGTGGACATTTGAGTTGTTTCCACTTTATGGATAAATGAATCATACTGTTACATGTACAAGTTTTGTGTGGACATATATTTTCATTTCTAATTGCTGGGTCATATGGTAATTATGTTTTTAATTTTTTGAGGAAATCAGACTACTTTCCTAAGCAGCTGCACCATTTTACATTCCCATCAGCAGTGTTTAAGGGTCCCAGTTTCTCTGCATCCTCACCAACACTTGTTATTATCTCTCTTTTTTATTATAGTCATTCTAGTGTGTCATGCTATGTACTTGATGAACTCTCATACACTTGCCTAATAAACATTTTAAGCCAGTTATCTCTGGGGATGTAACAGGCTTGTAAAAGTTTTCTAATAGTGCTTTTCTTTTCTTTTTTGGGGTGTGTGTGTGAAAATGGGGAAATAAACATACTTTTTTAAAAAATATATTTTATTGATTTTTTACAGAGAGGAACAGAGAGTTAGAAACATCGATGGGAGAGAAACATCGATCAGCTGCCTCCTGCACACCTCCCACTGGGATGTGCCCGCAACCAAGGCACATGCCCTTGACCGGAATCGAACCTGGGACCTTTCAGTCCGCAAGCCGACGCTCTATCCACTGAGCCAAACCGGTTAGGGCGGGAAATAAATATATTTTTAATTGCATTGTAGCAAATCAAATTGCTCTCTGGAAGGCAAGGGGACAGGGGAGGCAGCTTCACAAGCAAAAATGTAAACATAAAGGGTAGCTACCAAGAGAGTCATGTTTCTCAAAAGACACACACCAGTCAGCTTTCTCCTGTGGAAAGGGGTTAAAACTTTTAAATGAACTGCTGTGATAAATGCAAACTCAGAAGGACCAAAAATAATGAATGTAGAAACAATCAAAGCAAGGAGAAGGACCGAGGCTACCTTAAGTTCTCTCAGAATCCCTGATTGCCCGCAGGTCTCTAAATCCTCCAGCGTTGGAGACCAGACGTTTTCCTCTTGCTCGCCCTCAGTGCTGTCAGGAGCTCCTGTGAAACTGACTGTGGACAGGTCTCAGTCTTCCTTACTCATCTGGGTAAGTCTGGCTCAAGCTTCCTCTCTGCTTTCAGCTCCTTCAGTCATAGGTGTTGAAGTTGTATCCCAAGGCCTGAAAGCTAGTGCATTTAAAACACATTCACACACATTATCCCAATTGATTTAACAACATCCGTGAGTTAAGGCCTTTAGACCCAAGTAGGAGTAATAGTGCTTTTCTAAAGGATCAGAAGTCTGTTGAGGCTTTGCTAGGTGGGATCAGGCTCCAGACAGCATAGTTAAAAAAAAATATCCATTGGCTTACATGAAACGGCTGGTTTAGGTAAAAATTGAGAATGAGTTTCATGAACTCAAAAACTGTTTCCAATTCTTCTGTTGCACAAGTCCTCAGATTAAAGCCTGATTGTACATTACAGTCTTTTTAAAACTTTTTTAATTAAATCTTTATTGTTCAGATTATTACAGTTGTTCCTCCCCCCCCGCAAAGCTCCCCTGCACCCGGTTCCCACCCCACCCTCTACCCCCCCCCCCCCCACTGTCCTCATCCATAGGTGTACGATTTTTGTCCAGTCTCTTTTCGGACCCCCCAAACCCCCTCCTCCCCGAGAACAGTCAGTCCACTCCCTTTCTATGCCCCTTATTCTATTATATTCACTAGTTTATTCTGTTCATCAGATTGTTTATTCACTTGATTTTTATTTATTTATTTATTTATTATTTTTTTAAAAAATATATTTTATTGATTTTTTACAGAGAGAAAGGGAGAGGGATAGAGAGTTAGAAACATCGATCAGCTGCCTCCTGCACTTCCCCTACTGGGGATGTGCCTGCAACCAAGGTACATGCCCTTGACCAGAATTGAACCTGGGACCCTTCAGTCCGCAGGCCGACGCTCTATCCACTGAGCCAAACCAGTTAGGGCTCACTTGATTTTTAGATTCACTTGTTGATAGATGTATATTTGTTGTTCATAATTTGTATCTTTACCTTTTACTTCTTCTTCCTCTTAAAGGATACCTTTCAGCATTTCATATAATACTGATTTGGTGGTGATGAACTCCTTTAGCTTTTTCTTATCTGTGAAGCTCTATCTGACCTTCAATTCTGAATGATAGCTTTGCTGGGTAAAGTAATCTTGGTTGTAGGTTCTTGCTATTCATCACTTTGAATATTTCTTGCCACTCCCTTCTGGCCTGCATAGTTTCTGTTGAGAAATCAGCTGACAGTTGTATGGGTATTCCCTTGTAGGTAACTGAGTTTCTTTCTCTTGATGCTTTTAAGATTCTCTCTTTGTCTTTTGCTCTTGGCATTTTAATTATGACGTGTCTTGGTGTGGTCCTCTTTGGATTCCTTTTGTTTGGGGTTCTGTGCGCTTCCTGGACTTGTAAGTCTATTTCTTTCACCAGGTAGGGGAAATTTTCTGTCATTATTTCTTCAAATAGGTTTTCAATATCTTGCTCTTTCTCTTCTTCTGGCACCCCTATAATTCGGATGTTGGTACACTTGAAGCTGTCCCAGAGGCTCCTTACACTATCTTCATATTTTTTGATTCTTTTTTCTTTTTGTTTTTCCAGTTGGGTGATTTTTGCTTCTTCGTATTTCAAATCTTTGACTTGATTCTTGTGATCCTTTAGTCTGCTGTT